AGAGGAAAACACGTTTTCAGTTTGGAGTGAATTAGTAATTGACTTGAACTAGCTGAATACATTGAAATTCAAAACAAAACATCTGCCATTGCTGAAATCTCTGTCACCAAGTTTATCACTGCAGCAAACTCTGACTCCAGGTGGTTTCTGCTGGCTCGGGCACCTGAACCACTTCAAAACTCTCTTAGAAAGTATCTTTCAACTAAGACTGTTGTGCATTTAATCTGAAGTATTTGTCTAAATTATAAGTGGCCTTCGTCTCCTTCCCATGGCATCTCTCCATGATGACCCAAACTGATTGGTGCAATGTCAACCTCAGCCCGTGGTATATCCATGTGCCTTGGCCAAGCCATGTCCCCCTGCAATCCCCACCAGCACCATGGTGGGGTCCTTAATCAGTGCAAGAGTAAAACACTTTATTTTTTCATTTAATGTGGTTTATCAATTTTACTCATCTGGTATGAAGTCAGAGAGGCAGAAGACACCCTTGTGCATGGTGATCTGTAGCTGCAGGTGTTGGTCCCCACCAACATCTGCTGTCTCAGCCCATCACCATGGCTTCATCCTGCCTCCCCAGCAGCAAAGCTTCCCCAGTTAGTAGCCATTATAGACTCACAACTCAAATATTTAGTTTTCACATTAAAAAGGTGGGGCATGTCATGGTTTCGGCCAGGTTGGCCAGCAACAAGACAACAGATGCTCTCCACCACCTCACTCCAAGGAGAGAAAGAAGAGAAATAGACTTATGAGTTTAGAAAAACAAACTAAAGATAAAAAGAAAATAATGAAATAGATACAGTACATATAAATATATACAAAACCGTATCAAGCTCCCAGGGAGATGTCACCAGCAGGCACTCGGAAAGTTCCAGGGTGGTCTCAGTGATGGAACCAACAGGAACTGGATCCTGGAACATTCTGGTGAAGATCACAGATAGACAAACTCACAGAGTCCTTCTCATTGAAGAAGAGCCATTGAAGAGGAGCCAACCTGACCCCTTCCATCCCTCGGCTTTTATAACGAGCATGGCAGATGGGCTGGAACACCCGATTGGTTGGTTTGAGTCACCTGACCTGTCCACTCCTCCCCACAGGTGTGACCCCTCCATGGGGCAAACAACCCCTTCAGCTGGTCCTGGTCCCACAGCGACAAGTAAGGGCAAGAGCCTCTCTCACTGAACAGAAAGTTGACACTGCTGCACCCCAAACCAGGAGAGGGTTTCATCTACCTATACTTGGCCTGCCCAAATTGCCTTGTGAGATGGTTGTAGAGATTGTTTGTTTATTCTTATTATTACTTCTCCTCATTACAGCACTTTTGTGTCTATAAAGCAAAGCACACAGAATTTTTTTTTTTTTTTTTTTTTTTTGAAGCAAAGCACACAGAAATTTTTATTTTTTTTTAATTTTTATTTTTTTTTTAAATCTTGGGACTAGGGCTGTAGTAGGGAGGAAGGTGGTGCCTTGCAGACCTCTGTGGTGACCCAGCACCTCCCACCCTGCACCGCGGCTGCAGCACCGTGCTGCCCGCTGCCACCGAGACACCACTTGGGCAAAGCCATCTCTGAGCACTTGCTCCCACAACACAACTCCACAGCACAAGGACAAGAGATCATTAAATACAACTTTATTGGATTTCATTCTACAGATTTTGTTCACATCTTCCTCCTTTCTTCTCTCCATCTTCCCCTTGGTGTCTCCATCATGGGTTTCACCGTAGGTACAGGACAGCTTTAAAGTTTGCTGGCCGTATCACCCACACCAATTCCAGCCTCAGCTTCCCTTTTTTTTAGTTGGATTATTCTTTTTTAGTTTTTACACGATAAGCAATCTGACATTTTTGCCTGGCTGGAGCAGAGCAGCGTTCAGACCATTTCCTGCCCCCTCGCCACCTCCTCTGTTCTGGGGATAGTTGCTGCTTTTTGTAACAAAAAGTCGTTTCTCAAACAGTTTCATTTATCTCAAGGCAAATGCAAAAAATGAGTCACATAACATTAGAAATCCTCTAAAAACTTTGTGGGCAGCAAAAAAATGTACCATATCATGACCAATTTACTGCACCTTTTTTTCCACGATGCCCTTTCAGTACTAGTACAAAGTCAATAAAGAGGAAATAAAACCATTACGGTAGAACTGTTACTTTATGTTCAAGGCCAGGTTGGAGGGGGCTTGGAGCAACCTGGGCTGGTGGGAGGTGTCCCTGCCCAGGGCAGGGGGTGGCACTGGGGGGGCTTTAAGGTCCCTTCCAACCCAAACCATTCTATGAAACTGTACTAAGAATGTCATCAGCTGGAATGGGCAACCAGACCAGGAGCTCTCAAATCGGTTACTTTTGACCTGAGCACTGAGAAATAATTTTTTATTTCTACTGTGTAACAAGGAAATGTAGCTTTACATATGAGAAAAAGAGATAGCTTGGGTTTAATTATTTAATTTATACAATTTAAAGTTCTAGTATAGGTAATTTTATTTAGAACTTTAGTATTTTTTGAAGTATCTGAGTAAAGGCAATGATCACTTTTTAAATGATACACAGCAACTTTTTAAAACTTTTTTTTTACTTCTGGGATTTGAGGAATGTTCCTCCTTCGTAAGCTTTTGTAGAGATTGTTTGCATACTCTGACTCCAGCCTGAGTGCTTTCTCTTCCTTTTCCTGTAAAACTTAGGGCAGTACATTGTATAATGACAAGTGACCAAAAAAAATCAATTTGTAATCTGATTTGAGGGTTTTGATTTCCTCTGATGAGTTTAAATTTCATTAAAAGCAACCTTATTCAAACATAAAAGAACTCCTTGAAGGGTAAAACAGGGAATTGTCTCAAAGAGTATAAAGAATCTAAACTCTTTTGTGCTATTTATTCACGGCATTAATTGTGAGGTCCAACAGGCGGTGTCGGTTGGCAGATGCACCGTTATCGGCCCCACGATCTGCACGAGGAGGGGGAAAAAAAGCACAAGGGCTCACATTCAAAAATCGTTCTTTGGCGTATTGACACTTTAGTTATCAACAGCCCTTATTATCTGCTTAGCGGCGGATCGCAGCTTGCTGGTGACATAATAAGCTACAAATCACTGGTGGGGCCTTTCTGCATTCTCCTAATTGTGTGTATTCTCTAGAAAAAAATTATCGTCGGGCCTCTTGTCTTGATGAGAAATTGACATTTTCTGGCGGAGCCTGGCGAGCACTATGTGGGGAGATAAGACTTATAGTTGTTTTAAAGGAGTGGAGCCATTCTTTCAGAGGCCTCTTTATTGCTCTAGTTGACCCACTTGATGAGTATGGATTTCATGAGGTCTTTTTCAGCATTTGAACTATAAAAGGTTCAGAATGACACCACCCCTTATAGACAAAAGATAACCTTGCCCTTTGAATATATTGATTCTTTATTAACTAGGCTGTTTAATGCAATGAAATGAGGCATTAGATTGAAGCCTATTTCAAGTGCTTTGAATAATCTTTAAAAGCTTGAAAGACTTTAAAAAGCTGCTCTGCAATAATTGGCATATACTTTTAGAGACTCTGTTCCTTCATTTTGAGTAAGGAATTTTTATCATCTTCCCATGTCTAAACTCACCATACACAACGTATTTTCTCGTCGGGGCTATGACCAAGGTATGGACGGGGATGTGTCATAGACAGTGGATTGCTCTAGGACTTGTCATTCCTGGCACAAAACGTATGGGTTTTCTTCTTTTGTATTTTCTCTGCACTGATACTTAGACAAACCATTTAGATGCTCATTATTCAAACCTTTGAAATAAACCTAAAAGGAAGAGCGCCAGTAGGCATCACGCAGACTTTCATCCCCATAAACCATCTTATTTTTTAGTGGGATGCATCTGATTATGCCGCTGTTTAAACATGATACACAGACACATACTCAAAGTGGAACAATTTTCAATGCATCATCATAATAATAACCCGAAGTGCTCTATATTTTTAACATCTATTTTCATCAAACATGAAAACTATGGAAATGCTGGAGAAGAAAGGAGACATAGCTAAATGTCCCTGTTTCCCCTCTTTGTAAATTGTGACTCCAGTGAGGTGCAGCTTCTCACCACGCTCCATCACTCAACTGCAGAGACACAGGGGGCCGAGGAGAGGCTCGGGCACACGGCGTGTGGTTTGGCAGCACACACACGTACACACACGTACACAAGTGTGTACATTTACTTTGGAGCTCAGTTTTCAGTGCCCTCTCAAAGCTGTCAGCAGCCCTCTGGTAATGACGGGATAAAAGTCGGGTAAAACTCCCCGTTCTACCAGGACTGCTTCACTCACGTTGCCAGACCCATATCCAGGTATAAATCCCTTTTTTTTTCTGGTGGCTGAGGTCACAGGAGGATGCAGGCAGAGAGGGGAACCTAGCCCTGTGCTTCAGCCTCAGCATCGTCCCCGTCACCCACCAAACCACCCTCCGACTGGGGGGGCTGAGTCCTGCCCACCCCCCGTGTTCATATTTCAGGTACATTATAGGTACATTGCACGTACGACAGTCCAGAGGATGAAACATTGTGGTCAGTATGATAATTAACAAAAGCCTTCGCTTCCTTATCAGCATTTAAAAGACGAGTCTGTCGACCTTCGGTGTCGAAGCGCTACATGGAAAATTTGGGTTGTGCTCTGTTTAAAATAACTTTTCCTGTTTATAGGCTTTTACAATATGATATTAAAATAGAAAAAAAAAAAAAAAAGAAAAAAAAACCCCTCTACTGTTACCTTCACTTTACAAAAAGGGTGTCTGAAGCGCAGTTTTTCGGTTAAAAACTTCACCAAGGCTGAGCAACAAGTCGCTGCTGAGCTGCGGAGCAGAGCTCTCCGTCCTCCTCCTCCTGGGAGCTGCCCGGGGCACCCAAAAGCCCCATCAAGGACTCTGCTTTTCCTTAACCTCACATTCTGATATTTAGAAATGAAACCCCCAGTGGTGCATTTTTTCGTTTGGCTTTTTGTCACTTTTTTTAATAATCAAACCAGATAAAATTACTAAAAATGAAATTCACAGACAAGAAATACTTTAATTAAATATTGTGTAAAATGAACATTTTTTTATACAGTTAAATATATGAAAAAATGTACAGATAAAACAATCTTATTGTAGGGTCTTTAACAGTAAAATCTACCATTTAGTGAAGCTTTCCGTCTGGAGACAATGAAGCGATGAGTGCATTGACTAAGTAATCTAAAACACAAACAGATTGCATTTATGAAGAAAACTTGCAAACTTTCTTAACATGTACACGTGACCTCTCCCTTCAGAGCAAAACCTTACTCAGACAAAATAGAATGGAGGCAATTCAGTTCCAAAGTGACTTCTCAGGCTTTCCCACTTAGCTAAGCCTTGGTCGTTATCCCAAAGGACATGCGCGTGGCATCGATCAGCTGTGAGACGCTGCATCGTCCTTCATAACCCTCTAATAAATGCTTTACTAAAATGTGCATTTTTTTTTTTTTTCCCAGAAAGGAAAAAAAAAAAAAACAAAACCAACAACAACAACAAAAAAAAATCCCTCCTTTTTGGTTAAAACTTTTAATTCTGCTGCAGTTTGCAACATGTTTTGCAGTGCTGCGTTGGCAAACTATTTAGTGCAAAGTAAAAAAAAATTTAAAAAAACCCACAAAAGTCCACGTTTTTCTCTATGGATTTGGCACTAAGAGCCACGATACGCGACGGAGGTCATTCCAGTTTAAAAAGTACAGTCACCTACGGGTCTGTTACAAAAAGTTCCATAAAAAAACCAATAAACCTAAATAAACAAACCCCAAACATTTAAAAACTATGGATGATCCTGATTTCACATGAAACCTTTATCTTTTTTAAACAGTGCAGGGTTGGGGGGAATGCAGAGTGCAGCAGAAAATAGACACAGAAAGGAGTGATAGAATCGTACACCAGGTTTGTGCTTTTTTTTTTTTTTGATTTTTTTTACACCAGAAATCATCCAAATGAAGTAGTGATTAACAATTGTGGTGTAAGCCTGTGATAAAACAGCACAAAAGTTCTTCAAAGAAGTTCACTTTTAAGGCATCAGAGAAGTTAATGTGGCAAACGTTTTAATTAAAACATCAGAAGTGAATTTATTTTAAACTTTAGGCCTCTGAATTTTTCCAGTAAACACAGTTCAGCTATGTGGCAAAGTCATGGGTGGCAGCTAAAAATGACTTTTTACAATCTTTAAAAAAAAAAAAAAATTAAAAAATTAAAAAAAAAAAAAAAGAAAAAAAAAAAAGAAATGCAACCACAAAACAGATTCCTCCCTTTTGTGGCTGTATCACATGCACATATTCTACTAGTATCCATTACAGCCATGTGGCACAATTTTGATTTGACTATACAACAAACAACTTTTTTTTCAAAATTATTTGTTCTGATAACTTAAAAATAATATAAAAATAAACAATGAATTTGACTTTTCCTCAAAAATAGAAAAAAAAAAAGAAAAGGATGGAAAGTCTAAATAATAGCAACTTTATGAAGTACAAATGAAATGTACGGACACTAATTTATTTTAAAAGAAAAACATGAAGGCAACGGTTCTTGGCTTAATGCTATTCTCAGCATCACAATACCAGGCCATAACAAAAACCAATACATACAAGAAAAAAACAAAACAAAACAAAAAAAACAACGATGAAAAGCAATATACAAAATTTCAAAGATAAATACAATATTTATAGTTGATATGTTACAAAATAAATTCCCTTAGTGACTGCAAGTGTTTATGTGAAAGAAAGTGTTGCAATGAATAAGACTATTTTATTCCTTATCGGCTTCATAAGGAATAAAATCTGCTTTTCTAAATATTTAAGTGGATCTGAAAAAAATTCAAGACAAGTGTATAAATATTTAGCTACAACTTTGGCAAAATCACAAAAGTCTACAATTTTATAACCACATACAAAACACATTAGGGAAGAAGGATCTAGAAGTCAAAAGGACAATTTTCTGGTACAAGAAACATAGACTTCACAGTAGCCTAAGAATGCAATAGTATACAGTGCTAGCAAAAGTTGAAAAAATGTTGCAGATCACACTTGCTTAACAGGAAGCTCTAGCAGTGGAAGTATATTTTTTCTTTTTTTTTTTTTTACCAACAGACAGTAGCAATTTTTTTCGTTTTCTCTGTCAGTGTGCTTGTTGAAGGCAAGAGAATTCAATATCAAAGTTACAATTTCTAACTACAATAAGTTACAAAGTTCCATTTCATTAAGATGAAGTTAAGCAATGATAAACCCTCCCGCGCCCGCCCCCGCGCCCCAGTTTTTTGTTTTTTTCTAATCATATATTCATCCTTTTTTTTTTTCCTTTTTTTTTTTTTTTTCCAGTTTGATGGCTCATAACCTCCTTGGCCCCCTTTTTTCCACCACAAAAAAATATTTCACATTATAGAGATACACAACCATTGTGAATCTAGTTATGAGTACAGAAAAATGTTCGGAGGCATTTTTCATCAGTGTTTCATGATAATCAAAATGGTGCATCCACAAAGTTTCTCCCAACACATAGCAAGTACTAGACATAGCCAAGACGTAATCAGAAACTTTATACAAAATAGGCGTCGCTTTTTCCTTATTCTTCAGGACTGAGAAATGTGAAAATATGAGAAAAATTCAGTCAATAAAATGGAATTGTTCATGAAGAAGTAGGTTGTTTGCATGTAGATTCTTAATAGTTTAAATAAAATCTTTAAACAAAGTCTTTTTTTTGTTTGTTTTTTTGTTTTGTAGCATTTCGATTTGTTGCTGATTCTGTGTGAAGATACTGTTTCCATCAGCATGTCTTAATATACTAAACTTGTCCCCTAAAGCCCATCCTCTGAAGCTTGGTGCTACGGTAGGTAAACAAAAGTGACTTTACATTGGCGGGACTACAAGCCCGGACATAGCTAAAAGAAAAAAGAGAAGAAACAAAATCAGCCGTTATTAACACGCTTGCGTAAGGACATCTGGTTCAAAGCACCGCGATGCTCAGAGAGGGATGGGGTGGTTGGACCCAGACCCAGCTTCCTCCACAGTGCCCCACAGCATCCTCTGAGTGAGGGACCAGGGACATACCGCGCCAACGGTCCCCAAGGGCTTCATGATGGGGCCAGAGGAGGCTCCAAGTGGGGCTTTGTGCCCGGAGCATCCCAACTCCTCTCCCAGCACGGGACTGAGGAACACCATGGTTACTCCTGGTTGGGTCAGGCAACCCTCTGGGATGTCCCCCAGCAGGAACCCCACCAACCACAGCTCCAGACCCACCACCTGGACAGAAAAACCTCCATTTCCACCATTGTACGTTGTGACAACAGCGGGGATGAGAATGTCAAGGACCCTCTAAGACCAAAGACCCTACACCTGCTCTCAAGTCTGGAGACCAAGCACCGTAAAAAGGCATGAGATTAATACCCCTGACCAACCATCTCCTTTCTTTTTTTTAACAGATAAAGACTGAGATGCCAACAACCACTGCTTTTTTCCCAGTTAACTCTTTGGTAGAAACATAATTTAGACAGTCTTTAATTTTAGTGTTGTTTAATTTTTGCCATAATGATATTTCTCATTAATTTATGTACAACAGATATTAATAAATTTGTTCGTGTAGTGATGTGAACTTCAATTTCTCAGTTCATTAATTTCAACAATATTAATTTATTTCAGATTCGCTGTTACAGCTTTACAGTTTGGAAGTGCCAGGGTACGTACACGTTTCCTACGTAACACCCCCTCCCCCAGCACCGTGGGGCTGCCCCACCAGAATCGCCCCGACGGAAGCCCCCAGCAGCTCTGGTCCCCCAGGCCAGCTGATGCCAAGGACTTGTGTGGGACCCTATCTCCTGAAACAGGCTAAGGTTGTCTAACTCTACTCCTTTTTTCCCCAATAAGACCTATCCGATATGTCAAAATTGAAACGGAAGTTATAATTTTGCGTAGTTTACAATACAGCATGTTTTAAACCTAAACAGCCACCGAAGTTACAAAACTTAACTGGAGACTAGTGCATACGCTGGCAGAGACCCTTTCTACCCAAAACATTTAGTTTCTTTATCATATTTCCACTAAATCTCTCACACTCCACACTACATTAGCCCAGGTCAACAGAAGACCCAGCTGTGCGTTTGGATCTGCCCAACCATGTTCTCTCAAGGTTGTCTTCTCCTGTGAGTTTTGAGGCAGCAGGAAGCCTGGCACCACGTCAGGCAGCCCCAGAGAGGTTTGGTTACGTGGGGCATACCTGAATTGGGGGACACAGGAGGTCCCACCCCCTGCCCTGGGCAGGGACACCTCCCATCAGACCAGGTTGCTCCAAGGCCCCTCCAATCTGGCCTTGAACCCTCCAGGGATGGGGCAGCCACAGCTTCTCTGGGCAACCTGGGCCAGGCTCTCACCATCCTCACACCAAAGTTCTTCCCCAGATCTCAGCTCCATCTCCCCTCTTTCAGTGTCAAACCCTTCCCCCTTGTCCCATGGCTCCCCTCCCTGATCCAGAGTCCCTCCCCATCTCTCCTGGAGCCCCTTGAGGGACTGGAAGGGGCTCTAAGGTCTCCCCGGAGCCTTCTCTTCTCCAGGCTGAACCCCCCCAACTCTCTCAGCCTGTCCCACTGCAGAGGGGCTCCAGCCCTCCCAGCATCTCTGTGGCCTCCTCTGGACTCACTCCAGCATGTGCTTCTGAACGGTGGTTATGCTGCAATACAACCCTCAACTGCCATGTCCATCCAAAATATCAAGTCTTCCTATCTTTTCAGCTGCTGCAGGGATCTGTCATCACGCTCTATGTCAAGGTGATGGTGAGACACAAAGGCTACATCTCAGGGCCAACACGAGACATGTTCTGCCAGCACACTAAGCCAAGTACAAAAGCCCAGGACTGATCCGAACATTTGCTTCTTCAAAGGAAAATTTAGCCGAAAAAAAAGTCCAAATTTTTCTTCCAGAGGTTGTGTGCATAAATACCTTAATAAATAGCACACCATTATTTGGTACTAACGCCATGCATATCTAATCACACGGTTATTGTAATCTCATGTTTGGCTTCTACTGTGTGAAAATTTAGGTTGTCTGCTGCATACTTTTATGGGGAAAAAAAGTCTGAATTCTTTCATTGAAGCAATTTAGCCATTTTTGTTGAATTCTATCTGTGGCACAATGGGAAGGGGGGAGTGCAAAATTGGTGCTCCAGAAATTTATTTCACTGTTTATTTTAGTAGCTCCATTTGACAATTGTGATTTTCTCCACTACGTTTCCTGCTGTGCAAATTGATACCTAATGCCTTCTTAAAGAAAAATGGGGCGGCTAGTTTTTTAATAATAATTTTAACAGTTTCATCCAGGGGAAGACCAGAAAATTAAGCAGGAGGCAATTTTAAAAGAATATAGAGAACCTTTTGCTCTGCATTACGGTCATAGAGCTTAACCAGAGAGCAATATCTTTCACAATCTATAAAAAGTAAATTACAATTGGAAACCAAATTTTGAGCACATATTGTACTTCCAACTTTGCAGCGAGCCTGCACTTTCTCACTAAAAAAAATTATTTTATACCTTAAATGTGCATTGTTTTAAACAGGAAAAAGCCCTCTGCCCTAAGGAACCCATACGTGAGCATTCTGCTCTTGAAAATAAAAATTGCGTAAGTATTTAAATTTCTGGTCATCTGCTACGCAATGGAAGTCATACAGAAGTAACAAGATTGTGGCTTTTTGGATAAGGCCCAAAGACCCTTTTTTTGCAGACTTTCATCTTAACCTCTGTCTTGGATCTCTTTAGAAAAAAAGTGAATCCCCTTGTTGGCTACAGACCTCTCCACGTTCCCTCTTGGGCACTAAGCCCTAAAATGCAGAGTGGCTTTTTGGGGGCACTTACTAGCACCAAGATCTTGCTTCTAGAGTGGTGGGGCCAAGGTGGTCCTGATCCTTAGGGTGACGTTACCACAAGCCAGAAGTTAGAGCATCTCTAACTCTGCTTTATACTATCTTAGGGGACAAAACAGTCCAGCTGAGGTCCAGGTGGAGCTTTGTAGTTCTGGTCCTGCTTTCTCACCACCTTAGATGTTCCAAGAACAGAGTTTTTTTCCACACAGAGTGGTTTACGCAGCAAGGACTGGTGCATTTAACCCCCAAATCTCTGTCAAAGGACTACCCATGTCTGCAGGGCTGTTATACGTTGGGTTTTGCCATGCTTTCATCTGACTCTGACTCTGCCTCTGCTAACAAACCTTCATAGCAAACACCGGGCTGCCTGGCCCCGTCGTGTTGGTCTGCATTGTCTTGCCATAGCAGGGTCAACCAGCTTCCCTGACAGCTACACAACTGGCTTTTACTTCAGAGCAGAGCTTATGTGGGGAAAGGTAACACACCAAGCAACGAGAGAGGATGTCCTGCCCTGGGATTCAAAGAGCATGTCATCCTTTCTTATCCAGACCCACAAACTGCAGGATTTCCCTCAGATAAAGCAACGGTGACCACCAGCTCTCACTTCTACTTGGCTTGACTACATCTACACAATCTTCCTGACAGTGTAGGCTCCTTCACACCCCGCTGTGTAATGAGGCTCTGCACTTGAAGACCACTGAAAAACTTTAGCTGTGTTGGACTGTGGCTCTTGAATTCCATATTTTAATTTAATGTAGAAAATGTGCTGATCAGAAAACTCTCAGCCTGCTTGTACAGGGCTCAGAAAACAACTAATTAAACTTTAAAAAGGGCTCTATGTCAACAAATGACTAAGAAAATAGCAAGAAGGAAGCAGAATGCCCCCTAAATAACTGTACAGGTAAAATGCAGTGTATATAAATATCTCCTGCATTGCTGGATTTTTTTTTTTATGATGTCTCATGAAGGAAACAGATGATAAACTCCTGCCATCTAGTTCTGGCTGCAGCTCAACTCAAGGCACTGGCTGAGATCTGTGAGGACACCTGGGTGAAGCGTTGTCTACCTGGAGCCTTTCCTGAGTTCAATCTGAATTAACTCAATAGCTGTGGTTGGAAAAAAATGATGGTTCCTCTGCTGTGGTGACAAAGGAAATCACCACGGATATGTCAGTTGCAATTTGATCTCCTCCTCAGCCCAAGAGGACTTAAACCCCCATATTTTACCTTTTGCTAGAGTACCCCAACTCTCATGACACAGAGCATCACCTCGTGGTGCCCTGCTACTTTGCATAAATAATTCAACTTTTTATCACAACCTGGGAACTCAGTGCTCTAATCACCAGACCAGAAAGATGTTCTTGCTATTTCTCTGGGTCATTTTGCTCAACACGAAATCATTCTGTTTAGCTTTTTAAGCTGGATGAGGAAAAAAAAAAAATGCCAATTTATATATTTTTTTTCCCAGCACTTCATTGACCCAAGAACACAATAAGCTCTCGGATGCTTCTTTGGGCCAAGAAGTTAGTAACAAGCTATGAGGAGATCTGCTCTGAGATCCTGGTCTCCAAAGGGCTGGGTTTTTGGTGGACAGTTAGTTCTGTGGGATTATTTCTCTCCAAAGTGCTTTAAACTGGACACCATAAAGTGCAGGTGTTCAGAATTAGTTTGGCAAATCAAAATATCCATTTGCACCTGTTTGCCTGGGAGTGGCCATCATATTATGGAGACACAGAGAACAAAAAATACTGAGCTACCCACATCTTAACCAAGAAAGTCAAGAGGAGTGATGACCTCGGGGGTAAGAGTGTCTGCGACCCTTTGTGATCCCCAGAGGATCTGAAGTGCTCCAATTTACTGCATTGGGCAATGAGGCTCCTTATTTGCAAACCGAAGGCAAACAAACCTTTTCAACCATTCCAATGCATCTTCTAAACTTTCAGATATGCCGTAAAAAGGAAGACTTTTCTGTTCATATTTTTATTCCTCCACCAGTCGGACACTGTGTTGTAATTCCTCCTGCCCCACCGCCAGCAGGTGACCACGGACATTCCGCAGCTGATTTATAAACTGTTCCTCACACCACCCACATGAAACAGATTAACAATAACGCAGAAGCTTAAAATTGCCTGCCTTAATTAAAATATTTAGTTGTTCGTTTAGGGAAGTAACCACTGTAAGACCTCGGTAAGAGAGGGAGAGGGACCAACAGAGCACACAAATGCACCGCACGAGCTCGGCCAAGGAAGGTGAGTTCACTCGGTAAGAGCTTTACCCCATCTAGACTAATTCCACATATTTTAAAACAACTATTGCACCGTATGAGAAATGAGGAAGTCGCACCTCGTTATGCTGGAATGCTGCTGGTTTCAAACAACTGCAGAAATGTGTTCAGAAAATGTACAAAGGCAAGGAGTACACAAAACCTCCGAGAAGCATTCAGGGGTACAGTCCTGCTTTAAAATTTAAGGCACAAACTCCTAAGGGAAAATGCCAGAAAAACAACTCATGTTTTCTCTCATGCAAGTATCAAAAGTGAACTAAGATTTGCTTAAAATCTCAGCATACCACAGTGCTACCCTCTTTCTTCTCCTGCTTTTGCATGGCTACGAGAGCACCAGAAACCCCCCACAACACAGCGAGGCACCTTTCCCCAAAACAAACGACCAGGGCTTGAGCGTACGCACCCGAAAAGCAGAGAAATGCACAGAAAAGGGAGAGAGAGCCGGCTCACCTTGAAGTCCGTTTCCATTTGCACTGGTGCAAGATGGTGGAGGAGAGGCTTGGGGCCTGACAACGGGAGCGAAGGCGCTCTTTTGTTTCACTGCAGAGATGACATTGGCAGGTGAGAATGAGAAAATGCCGTGTGTACTGCTACAGTTTGAAGGGAGGGTGACCGAAGAGGCTGCCATGGTAGGGCTTGACGGCACTACTGCAATAAAGCAAAAATAATCAGGACTCAGATTGAGGTTTTCACGGCAAACACGGAAAAAGAGAGTGATAGGGCCTTGCCTCTTAAAATATATATATATAAAAAAATATATATAAAAAAAAAATGAAATGCCTTGGCTTGGCCACTCTCTGGATAACAGGCAAACTCTTTTGTGTTGGACTTTTGTTACAAATTGCGCAGTCCAATTTTTGTTTATTTATTTTATTATTTTTTTTTTCTATCTGAGATTGTATTACGGCACAAACAGATCAATTTATCATTTTCATTTTTACGTCCAGCCTCCAGAGTCACCCCTCCTTTTATCCAGTAGCTCACAACATAGGAAATCAAAACAATGCAAGTATTTGATTTTGTAGTAAATATGAATCTATATGATGATGTGTTACCAAAAATAGACACTTACTGCCGTAAGGAGAGTTAGCTGAGGAGCCATTAAGAAATCCAGGGGAACCTGGTACACCTAGATTGGGCATGCCGGCATTGCCATATCCATTCATGCTATTGCTGACTGTGTTGTAATTGGACTGCTGAGGAGTACTGCTGGGAACATATCCTCGCGGGGAAACACTGCTTGTGTTGCGACTGTAACCTACTGTGTTAGAAACCCCCCCACCCCAAAAAAATAATGTTATTTTATAATATAGACTTAGGGCTGGGGGGTTTCCTCATGCAGCATATATTACACAGTTTTAATTGATTGCACAGCTTTGCTCTAAGTTGTCTCTCACTGCCCTATCAACTCTTGCAGTTTGAGATAACCTTATCACGCCAACCCTACTTAAATCATCCGCGAGCACTCTATGTTGTCTCTCCTCTTAGCACAGACAGCCAACAAAAGCTCTCTTCGATCCAGCTGTGGCAGGTGCCTTCACGTTTGTCTTTAGGAGCAATTATCAACAGGCTCGAGTCCCGCTTTGGACCAACACGCTGAATGAACTTTCAGCCTCCCCAGACCTTCAAATGCCATCGCTGACAAGAAAAACTTTTTTTTTTTTTTTTTGCGGTGATTTACTTTAAAAGGCTGTTTTGGGGTCTTCATTTTATGACTGATATTTTTATACTAACAACAGGCTCGTACTTTCGTAATGTGTAGCCATCGGTGAAAACTAATTCAAGATCAAGTACAGAATTTTATAAGGCTTATTAGCTTGGAAATGCATTAAAAGACAATCTTTTTAGAAGAGGAAACATAGCAGAATCAGGATTTTAAACAACAATTTGTTCCTATCTGAGCAATCAATTTAATAATTATGTTGCAAGCAAAAAATATGGGTTTGAACATATCTAATAATCCTGTTTCCCTCCTTTCATTAGTATCAAAATTAATTTTAAATGCAATATGCTACATGCGTTTTCAATTACAACAGGTAAATTAAATCAACTATTACTTTTATTAGTAACATATATGTCACACATGCCTATAAACAAAGTATTTTAAAATCACAGACATCCAATTAGATTTATCTGTGTAAACATTCCAAAACCAGGTGGAGATACCTAGACATAATTATTTTATAAAAAAAAACAAACACATTTTATATTTACTGTGAATAATAAAGAGCTTTCTACACTTTGCCAATTATTTTTTTTTTTTCCACTGGAGATGCTTTATGATAAACAGTAAACGGAAGAACAGCAAGAATTAAATATTATGAGAAAGTTAAAGACGGCATTTCGTTACACGCTCAGACCTACAAGTGGGGGGAGAAAGAAGAGGCAGAACACAGCCGTGAGATCAGCGCGTACGAACAGGCACGGGCCCAAAAAGCAGCCGAAAACGGGAAGGATTAACTCTTGAAATCCCACATACCTTGGTCGTTGGCTTGTGATGTCTCGGAGACGTTGACGGCGAGCTGGCTGCTGAAGGAGTTCACTCCCATCATGCCAGTGTGGGCAGGAGTGTTGGCTAGAGTGGGGATCTGGTTGTGATTGCGTGGCACGCTGTACAACGCCTCGGCAATGTCAGCTGCTCGTTTCAGGATTATTTCCTGGAAAGACATAAACCGAGCCCTGACAAGTAAGAAACTGATTTGCGCAAACAGCCCGAGTCAAAATTTAGGGAAGAGATTCGCGTGAAACAACAGTAAGGGTGGGGGTTTCGCTGCCTCTTTCCACTGTTTTCCCTCCTACATACCAGAGCGCTGGGCAATTTCATGTCATCACAGTGAGAAATAAAGAAATTAACATAAAATTCCAGTTTAGCGCTGTTAAGTCATGTGAAAACTGTAACATATTCTTTATTTGTCCAGGGCAGTAGATGCATTTTCAGCAGTTTGCAAAATACAGTATGTTTTATCCGCTCTGTTTAGCAGATTTCTTTAGGCCTTCCCATTAGTCACTGTATGTTTTGGCCCAAGTTCAAGGTTATTCTCTTGCCTTAATGATTGCTTCTGCTTTTGGCACCTTATGCTTAATTGTCATTTCTGATAGGCAAAGTAGCCATGAGAAGAGAATGGGAAGACGAAGCCTTTCCCTCCGAGCATCACACCGTGTCCGACTGCCCTCGAGGTGGGCTGGGGACAAAGGGACCATCAGTCCCACCGGATCACCACGGGAGGCCTGTGGGCCAGGACTGGGTTTGTCACCTACCTGGTTGTTATGGGGCATCCCATATAGGGCTTCAACAAGGTCTGCTGCTCTCTTAAGTAATACTTCCTAAAGAGAAAACAAACAGCCTGCGTTAGGTTTCGCCACGTGCAGCCACCGTCCCCAGCAGAAAAGAGAAGCCCAACGATGTTGGCAGTGACATCCGCAATGCCGAGGAAGCAATAAAGTGGGTAAAACACATCACACGCTGTCCCGCTGCTCCCGCTATATTTAGTGGGCGTATTACAAAGATAGGAAGGCATTTTGTTTTGGAGGAAAACACGGTTTGGGGTTTGAAGTCAAAGTTAGAGCCCAGCCTAAAAATAATATTGCGTTTTACATCCAGCTGTTCAATTATGATTGACTAGAAAAGGTGTTTGCTGCTGTAGCATGTAGCTCTAGTGCTGAATTAGTGAAATCAGTGCTTGAGGTTTAATGATGTAGTCTTATGGGTATTAAACAAACAAACACATGGTAGAGATATGAAAGGCACAGGCATCACATTTGGCTGTTAATTCCTAGCACTTTAGTGGTGAAGAACAATAAGTAATTTTCCATATCTTAATTAAACTGGCAGAGTCCTTAAAGACAACATCTCACCCCTAATTCATGCCCCAAATTTGCAAGTGAGTTCAATGCTTATTCCTCTTTATTTTGAACAATAAAGTGAATTAACTTGGGTTAATCTAGTTCTTTCATAATGACATTAAGAAATTTTTCAATTAACCTCTTTGACTGCATGTTGTAAAGGACTTCATAAATGACTTCACATTCAGAGAGTGTTGAGTACTTGTGCCTGGGGGCATGGATGCACTGAATTTTGTCTTATCCCTGTCTGCATGCCTACTTCCAGTTTTATGATTGTGAGGATTAATCCATAGTTTAGTTAATTTTAAATACAAACCGACTTAATTTTTTTTTTTTTTATTTTTTACCTTCGGCTGTAATAAAATTTAGCCGGAGTTTTTTAGGAAAAGCTCTACCCAGCCAGAGTCGAGCTGCCTTAGGTACGAACGCGAGGTTTCTTCACCACTTATGTGCCTGCTTTGGAAAGCAATCGTTCCCGTGAAGGAACAGAAGCCAAACCCCCACACACAACTACGCAAA